CTGCAATTGTAACTTATTATTCCTTCTGACTTGAAAAATAATGAATTGGTCCTTTTCTATTATGTGGCCACAATTACTTAACATGTTACTATTTTCTTAACAATTGATATGCTTAAATGTTCTCTTTAAAATACAACAAATATAGATGTTGGATCAGGTTCCTCATCTATATGTTAAAAGGTTACATAGTTCAGAGTATTTGCCTTGACTCTTAATAGTAGAAAGAGGAAATTATTTTGAAAGATAAGGGGATTGTGGAATATAATATACAGCATTATATGTATCTAGTCTTTCTGACTATTGCACTGGACTATTTTCAGAATCCCTTTGATTTTTTTTTTATCATGAAGCTGACATTGAAACATTGTACCTAGACTATTTTAAGCAAGTGTGTCATTGTTGAGAGATTTGGGTTTTTTTCTTTTTTAACCTAGCCTTAAAAACAAATTTTACTTCCAAGAATATTAAATATTTTCATACTGGGCCATTCGAAAGGCCATGTAATCCAGAATTCAGTCTTCATCTGAGGTTTGTTAACTCTTCTGGATAGCTCACAAGCAAGTCATGATGGAGAGGCTACCTCCTGTTGCTCTCAGCATTGGTTCATAGGAGTAATGCTGCCTTTGAGCTAGTAGCTCCGTTGCCAGCCATGTTTGAGATGCTAAGTAATTTGACATTTTCTAGACTGACCTTACATGACTCTGCACCAGTCTGAATATATCTGAAAAGCACTAGATTGGGGAAGCTGCTATATAAATGTATAATCAAAATTCTTCTTATTCTCAATGTTCAGAAGCGTGTCACTACTTCTGGAGCAAAAAAGGCACCAAACCACCGAACAGAATTTGTTTATTAAGAGGAATTGCAAAGTTTATGGAAAGTTTTTTTTTTTAGTTAATCTTCAGTATACCAGAGGTGGGAGAGAACAGTAAAAGAAATGATCCAAAGAAGAATGAGCTTGCTCCTTGGCCATGGTTTGGTTCTTCGGTGCTGCAGGATAGAATGGAGTACCTTGAATACTGAACAACAGTTTTATATGCTGCAACATTTTACTGTTGTCCTTTTTTAATAAGTAGTACTTTCCATTACAACATCTAGTGATCATGTATTCTATGCCAGGGTTCCTCAGCCTTGGTGACTTGAAGATGTGTGGACCTCACCTCCCAGAATTCTGGGAGTAGTGGTCCACACGTCTTCAAGTCGCCAAGGTTGAGGAATCCTGTTCTATGCTACAAGCTCTTCACTCAGTGTATGCTTGATTGCTGTGATCTGTTGTCTGTCAATTTAATTGAATGGCCCTTCATTTTAATACTGTAGGAGAGGAAAATAAACCTCCCCTTATTTTTGTGATTCCCCCTAAATTGAAAGGATTTGGTTCGCTTTAGCCTTTCCCCATAGGGATGATGATTAAACTGTGATAATTTTAGCTGCCCTTCTCAAGCTACAATTTTTTTTTTTTTTGAAATCACGGTATCCTAAACTGAACACAATATTCTGTGTTTGAACCATCATGGAAAAACCATTGCTGCTATTTTCTCCTCCTTTTCCTATTCCCGACACTGAATCTACCCTTTCAGTAGTGCAGCAAAATGAATTGAATTTTTAATGAATTTTTAATCAGCTTACTTCCTGGGCATTAGGAGCCAATCAAGTTTGGTTAGTATAGATGCGACCTGTGAGTTTTGCACTTCACATTAACTTCAGCCTCTCACCGGAAGGCTGAGTTAACTGTTTAGAGCAGACCGTTTGAACATTTTCACCATCTACTTGAGCTTTCTGTGTCCTGAACCCAGATCATTTTAGGGGTAAGCAATGCCTAAACATTTCTTCTGGCTTAGTATTTACTTATAAATGTGAAACCCTCTCCTCGGTGACTACTATGAAAAACTGGAGGATTAATCTAGTCCTTATGCACTTTCAGTTCTCTTTTTTTAAACTCCTTGTCTATCTGGCTCCCTGGTATGTACTTCTGTACAAACATGACTACATGATAACTTTAATTACATTTTGTTTGTTTCTCTTTGAAACAACAAAACAAAATACTTGCTTGAAATTTTGGTTAAACTGGGTTGGACTTTTTGGTAATTTGATCTTCATGTTGAACTTTGGTAACATTTGGGTTATTGTTTCCAACTAGTGCTCTGACTACTGTCTAGTATTAAACCAAAGTATTTCTAGTTAATTCCATTATCTGGTATCTTGAAATATACTCCTGTATTTTATCCAGAACCCTTGCCACCACTGGAATTTGCCATTTTTGGCCTGGTGCAATTTGGTAATTTTGAAATAATTGAAGATTCACCCTATTGTGCCTTCTACCTAATGCATTTTGCACTTCAGTTTTGTTTTAATACAGTTTTATTTGAAATGTTATTCTTTGGACATGGATTTTTATCTACAATAAATCTGCAGTGATTAAGGTTTTTTTAATATTTCTAATCTGATGATATTTTATACTATTTAGGTGCACAGAATAACTGCACTTCAGGTACTGTTTTGCTCCGTACATGCATCCTTTTTTCCCATGTTCTTTTTCTGATATTTCACAAATTCTCATCACTGGGTACTCATGAAAGTACATGATGAATCAGTCTTGCATACACTATTTGGTAGCCAAGGTCTGCTCAGTCTCTGAATTTAGAGACCACTTGAGAACCCGTGGGATATAAATGTAATATTTTTATTAAAAATATATGATAGGATAATAAACAGATGTGCTAACTTATATTTGGTTTCCAGTGAGAATTGATATATAAGCACACAGATCCTTGTAGCTAGACAGAAACAAAAGGAAATCCCCACTTTAAATATCTTGTTCAGGTGTAATTTATATAAGTGGCTTATTTTTTCTGAGCAGTTCAACACCCACAGTTCTTTTGCATTAACGAAGCAAATTTCTTCTCAAAAGTGTTTGACATTTTACTTTTGGTGAGGTGAAAGTCTGGTATATACTTCTATGATTACTTAGTGAATTTTGCTTTTTTTTTTAATTTCTGAAGAGTTACATTATCCTGTGGCTGAAAGCACTTGGGACAGGAGAAATTATTTTGAGTTGTTATTTTTTGATATAAATGATCCATAGCCTTGTTGTAAAATAACCTACAAGAGAATGAGGCTTTTGGATTTCCACACTGCTGTTTTTAGTTGTTTGTGCAGATCCCTTCTTGCTTATTAGAGTCATTGTTTAGACCAGGCTAGCTGGGGAATTCTGGGAGTTGAAGTCCACACATCTGAAAGTTGCCAAGGTTGAGAAACACTGGTTTAGACACCTCCTTGTTGGTTGCTGGAGGTTAGTGAGGAGATTCTGATTCCGTGGAAGCTAAGGCAACTTCTGTATCCTTGCCCTGGATGATACTAGACCAAGGAGAATGTGCCTGGATGTTCAAAGGACTCAGAAAGGGTAGCACCAAGTGCCTGCCGCTCCTTTGTAATCTTCTGCCACTGTAGTCATATGTCACCCAATTCAGCAAATTTAAATAGTAGAAGTAAACCCAGATGTCATTTAAGGGAAAAAGAAGAAAACTGAGTGCAAAGTTAGCTTTCTGCTCAAACTTTTTGTAGGTTCGCTGTGCTCCATTGTCTTGTCCTGTCCCCATGTTACAATTCTATCTTTCAGGAGGAAAGAATTTGTCTCCCATGTTACCAAGCCTGACCGCACTTACCCTTTTGTTTTGCTATTTTTAACTTTTTCTTTTGTCTTGGAGGCTGCCCAGCACTAGATAGATTTCTGTATGTAGAAGGATGGGAGGTTAGTGTGACTGAGTAACATAAGAAGACATAGCCACCTTCTGAATGGAGACAATTATTCTTTTCTAGCATGGTCAGTTTCTGTTATTTGTTGCTTTCAGCCACAGAAGAGTATCAACATGTCTTATTTTTGGGAAACCTCCATAGTCCAGTTTAAGCTGGCACATCTGCCAGCCTTATGGAACTTGATGATATAGACTATCTTCTTCAGCTTGGATGTATTGGACTTTAAGATTCTAAATTTCTATCTGTAGCCAATATAACTCTGCTGCCTAAAGATACTGGGGATCAAAAGCCAATACATCTGAATGTTGCAGGACTGGAGAAGGTTGGTGTAAACTGTCATGTAAGCCCTAAAGATGATATAGGAGAGTTGCATCTTGGGAAGGGCTTGTTGAAGGTGGACTGATGCCCTTCTAGAACTGGTATATTCCTTATATGGATTATTGCTGTTCTTATGTCAAACTGATTGATACTCAGTCTCTTTCTCTTTTTCCTCAGGAAACAGGAACAGTTCCAGGCAAATCCTGACAGTTACAATGGAGCTGTGCGAGAGAACTACACTTGGTCTCAAGACTATAGTGACCTGGAAATTAAAGTTCCAGTGCCTAAGCATGTTCTGAAAGGCAGACAGGTAATGAGCATATGAGAAGTTATTTGGCCCATTTGGCTGATAGATTCCCCACCTCTCCTAGTAAAATGCCTACTGTAACACTGTTTGGCATTCTGCCCTTACTTCCTCCATGGCTGAGAGCAATAATTCTGTCCTATAGCAATCCAAATTTGTTTAATGCTTCAGCTGTTTCAAACCATCCTCCAGCATTAAATAAGTTTGGATTGCCACTAGTCAGATCAAAATATAAAGGGAGAACAACAGTGTAATGATTGCAGAATATCCCAGTCCAATGCCTGGTGACCTCAGTTAGAACAGCTCCTGGGATGCATGCAGCTCTCCAGTCTCCCCAAATTGTGGAGATTGTGTTGTCAAAATTGGGTGGCAAATGTTAATTTTTAACTTCACCCCCCTCACTTTTAAATTAAAGCAGCAATGAAAATAGGAGGCCCTGATGGGCTTAATGCTGCTAGTTGCTGTTGAAGTGCTCTAAAGCCCCTCAAAACATTAAAAAAGGGGTCAAGAAACAGGCATAGCAGGGATTCCAGGAATTATCTTTACTGTAGTAAGTAGACATGGAGAGCCATGGAGATGGCCTTGAAGGGAATATTCAGAAGCTGTAACAGAAGCAAGGGCAGAAGCAATCCTTAAGCCCTGGGAAAGGAATTAGAATTAGAAAGAGCCTCAGGCTGGCTCCTCCTTGGCTTTAAGGGGTATAAGTGGGAGGAAAGGTAAAACACAAGCAGACTTGAAGGATTCTGTTACTATAGCCCATCTCAATAGAGTTCTAGTCTTCCTCTGGAGTCAGTTTCCTAATCTGCTCTACCTTGTCAGGTTGACAATAGAATAGCATAATCTTGAAAGTCAAGTTCTTCTCTATCCCATCTTATACCAGATAAAATTAAGGTAGAGTTAGGCTTAGTTTGAGTTTCTTCGTCTGCTTATGGTATGCAGAAAAAACTTCATATGCAGATTTATAATGGTAACAAAAAGAAACCAGGGGAAGGTATCTTTAGGACTTAATTTCCCTGGCATAATTACATAGTAATTTATTTACCTTTCTGACTTCTTCACCAGATGCAGTCTTTTAATGTATAAAGTGAATTGAGTGTCTTTATCTTGATTTGCTACTTTTATCCATGAAAAAGTAGTAGAATGAACATCTCTGCTTGGGGGAGACTATTTGTACTGAAACATCAACCTATTCTGCTTTTGCGGTGATTATTGCCCATTACTGTTAAGCTGACATAACCAGCACAGGCCAGGCATTGTGTAAACAAACTCATTGATTTTGACTAGATTTTCCCGAGGGATGTGATTTACCAGGATTCCTTTTCTACTCTGCGCCCTGGGACTATGCTTTGTAGAGTATGAAGTATTTTTAAATGTTGATTGCTAGATTTGCTTCTTCTGCAAGCAAAGTGGCTTGTAAAGAGGGTTTTTAAGATGGTTGGTGTCTGTTCATAAAGCATCTAGCAGAGGTGGGTATCCAGTTCATTCCATGTGGCTTCTCTGGATTGGTGACTCAAAAGAAAGTGGAGTTAGGCTGGACTTGGATGACTCCTACTTTGGAGGGATCATTTAATTCCTCATTGTGTTACTTTGCCCTCAGGCTTCTGCTCCAGGACTATCAGCTATGAGAGAAGACAGCATGCTTAGGTTGGGAAATCTCTGGGAAGGGAACCTGCTTTCCCTGGAGTCTTTCTCATGTTTGCTTAATAGCTAAGCAGGGTTGGATCTGGTTTGTACTTTCTGGGAGTCACCAGAAAATCCAAGGGAATAGGTTAGAGTGGGGACTTCAAAAATACATCCCCACGAAGGCAGGATCAACCTTCTTTCATATTTTTGCCAAGGGAATTAAACCAGTGTGTGTGCAGTCATCAGGAGACATGCTTAGCTTGAAGGAGGCTTTCTTTTTTTCTAGTTTGTGATACCTCTCCTCACCCCTCTCCATCTTCATACCATTTTCCTTGACGTTCTTTTCTGAGCAGAAGAGTGATGCAGTTTATTTTGTCAGTCTTAGATTGGCATAGCTCTATTACGGTCCTCTTACAGAGGGGGAGATGGAGATGTACACAGGCAGAGGCAATGTATTGACTGAAGTGGTTAAAGTGTAGGGTTATTTTTTAAATTTCCTAATATCAGAGAACAAGAAAGTTGTGTGTATGCATGTGTGACTTTTTTCCATTTGTAAAGTGACTTGTTTTTCTTAAGAATTCAGGGCAGCTGAATCAAGCATTCTGATTTGGTACATCTGCTTCAGCTTGCATTAGCTCTGTATCAGAATTGCAGGAGCATCAGCTGACACAGACAGGGTAATAAGGCTGTTTAGCAGGTGCTCTGAAATCAGCAGAGGAAGCAGTACCTACAAAGGTGTCCGCAGCAACACTCACTGGCTTCAAAATGGTGAGTGTGACTGAGCAAGCAAAGCCCTGTCCCTTTTACATGCATGCAGTGCATGTGATACCCATTAAAAAGGGACGGGCCTTTGATTGCTCAGTCGTGCTTGCCATTTTGAAGCCAATGACTTGCTGTGGATGCCTCTGCTACATAATTCATGATGAAGAAATAAACATCTTATAGCTATACTTCCTATCCTGTACATCCTATGTACAAGTAGCAGAAAACCTTGTATTGTGTCCTCCAACCTCCCTTTCACCTCCAGCATAATTGAAGAAATCAGAAGTGTTTGCTTCCATTTTCAACTAGCTACATTTTCTTGTTAGATCCAGATTTGGACAAAGTAGGGTTATCAGGAGAGCCAGTTTGGTGTAGTGGTTAAGGCATCAGGCTACACACTGGGAGACTGTGAGTTCTAGTCCCACCTTGGGCCAGTCACTCACTCTCAGCTCTAGGAAGAAGGCAATAGCAAATCACTTTTGAAAATCTTGCCAAGAAAACTGCAGGGACTTGTCCAGGCAGTTGCCAGGAATCAACACTGATTTGAAGACACACACCAAAAAAAAAAGGGGCGGGGTGGTTATCTTATGTATGACTTAAGGAAACAAACCAGCTTTAAACCATGAATCAAGAGCTTGGCTTTTCCTAAACTGCAATTAACTACAGTTTTGATTCATATGTAAGAAGCAACCAGAGTTAATTGAAAGCAGAACCTAAGACTTCCAAATCAGTTGTGGCTGTGCCAGAAGAGAAAAGGGGAAGGGGGAGTACATAAATCCCAAAGTTATACATTTAACATTCAGTTGTGGTTAAGCTTTAGTGTTATATCTGAGCTGGAACAGATTATCCTAGGGTCAGCATCCTGGGTATCAAGCTGAAGATCAAGTGTTTCCAAGAAATTCTCAATAGTTGTCAATTATTGGTTGTTCCCAGTCAGTGGCATATTGCCTCTGAACATGAAGGCTTCATTAAACTGTCTTAGGCAATACCTATTTATAGCCCGTCCTCTATAAATTTATCTACTCTTGAAATTTAAAGCAGTCTAAACAATTGGTCTTCTTGTGGCAGAAGATGCCATAAATTGTGCACTGTATAAAAAACTGTTTTCGTTAAAGCTTTCAGGAGAACCTTAGCCAAGAAAACTGAAAACGGGCCGCTCCCTCCCCACATGAAGCAAAAGCAGGAGCCTTTCCTTAGGTTGTGGATTTAGAACAGTGAAAGAAAGTGTTCTCCTGTCCACAGCTTTGAGGGCTGCCCACTGCATCATGACCAGGTTCAGTTCCTCACAATGAGGATCTTAAGGCCTTGACCTCCCTACTGTTCCATAGAGTTGCACTGGTCACTTTTTTCCCCACTATAGTATGGAAAAAGCAGCAGTTTCTTCCCCCTTGGGTAGTGCAGCATCTTGTGCTAGCTCTGGTGAGGATTCAGTTGGATTCAGAAAATGGGAAGCAATAAATCAGGGTTGGGGGTGGGTGGGTTGTGCTTTGTGTTTCAACCTCAACTTTTTTAATGAACAGCCCAGCAAAAGCAGTGAGGACACCTACTGTCCCTGCAATCCACAGTTGGACAACTGTTGTAGTCACTTAATGTTATTTTCTTATTTTACTGCTTGTTTCCCTGAATATAAATCCATCTGCCAAACTGCAGTGCAGTTTAGCTAAGAAAGTCATCCTTGTAATCAGAAAACAAAACTGGCAAAAGTGGTTTTTGTTTGACTGATCTATGATACTGAAACTAAATTGATTTAGCACTGGCCACATTTACACATGGCTTGTTCTGAGAGGAGCATGTTTAGAGTCCCTAACTGATCCTCCTTCACCTGCTGAGTGACAAAATGATGAGCTGAAAAACATACTGTGGGCTCCCTCTTCCTGTTTCTTCTATGTCTAGGTTAACCTGTTAAATCTTGGGCTCCTCAGTTTCTGGGGATATGTCAAATTATTAGCATACAAAAAGTAGCAATCTATACAATTCATTATTTCCATTTACATCCACCCTTTATAATAGGTATCTCAGGACAAGTAATACCAATAATGCAGGGGGAGGGAATTTTTGGTTCTAAGAATGTGTTGGACTTCCTGGTCCTATAAGCACCAGATAATATTGTTGCTGAGCAGGGAAGGTGATGATCAATGATAGGTTAGTGCTCCAGACTTAATGGAATAATACTATGTGGATTGATAACTGTTGCTGTCTGCCCAGCATTAGTGATACAAACATTAGTATAGCATTAATAACTCTGGCGAGGGACTTGTACTTTGAACATGTTGATCTGGGTTATGCAATTGTGTTGTGCATTATGTATCTACAGAAATGCAGTCCTTATTTGTATTTTAGATCAGAAAAAAAGGTTTCTTGTTAATGTATTTATAGTTGAAGGACTGTGTGTATTCTATATCTTAGCAAGATGATAAAGTTGTAACCCTTATGACTGAACTCAGGTATGGCCAATGTCACATATTTTCTAAGCCAACGAAATGCTGAACACACTTCAGAGCTACTTATTTGTTCTGTCCATGATTCCTTTTATTAAATCAGCTGTCTTTCTAGAAAGCAATGACCATACAAAATACATGTTTATTTACTACTAAAACCGGGCAGTCTTGTATACCAGAGCTAGGAAACCCATCACCCTCCAGGGATTGTTGAACTATAACTCTTCAGTCCTAATTAGCATAATCAGTATAAAAGGAGGTGGGAGTTGGTAGTTCAGCATAATCTGGAGGGTTCTATTATCCGAATCCCATTGGACTTAATAGCACTTACTTCAGAGTAAACATGTATACACTTACACTGTAAAATAACATTTAAATAATGAATTATGCAGGAGCACTTACAATGAGAACCTCAAAGACAATGCCAAAGAAAAAAACATGGATGATTCAATTGCTAAATGTCTGCTTTTAAATGCTTGTTTGTTGCAAGATGAGGACCAGATCTGAGAAAATGGCTCAGTAAGGCCAATATCTTGTTGAGTTACTCCCAGTTTTAGTACTAAAAAGGAATAATAATTAATACTGCTAATACTACACCTTCCTCCTGGAAGCAGCGAGGCACCTGTACCATATTCCTGACTGTATATACCATACCAATAGAGGCGAATATGTATATGTCATATAGTTGCCATTTCTGTTTCGTATGAGGAACCTGACTTCCCTTGGAGGGAGCTGCTTGCAGTAAAAGGATTAGCCTCCCACCTTTTCCCCTTGCAGTTCTGGACTGTGTTCTATGAAAGAACAGCTTCCCTACTTGCTTGTTTTCATTTTCCACTCAACCTGGCTTTGCAGACTGCTACCTTAAAAGGGGTGTACACTGGGCATGTGTGTTTCTTTCTGTCTTCTGTTAAACGAAGCACAAGTCACTCCCACGCAACTTGACCCATTCGTTGTTTATGAATAATCCTTTTATATATTGTAGGACCTGTGGACTTGGTTAGATAACAAATGCTAGAAGTCCATAAATTAGAGATTCAAAAGTGTGTTGTTTCCTTTGTACTGCATTGCGATTGTATTCCAATCTTTTACTGTAACCCTGAAAGGAGTACTAAGGGATGAGTCACCTTGCTAATTAATTTTTCTATGTTTTTTCAGGTTTCTGTGGACATCAGCAGTAATTCAATCCATGTTGCAGTGGTAGAGGGAAGTGGACGCCGTGTGCTCATGGAAGGCACCCTTACCCACAAGATCAATATAGAGAACTCTGTCTGGAGTCTAGAACCTGGAAAATGTATTCTAGTAAGGACTACCTCATCATTTCATTTCAGTGTGTGTGTGTGTGTGCGCGCGCACATGTATATACATTCGCATGCAAACACACATTGTTATATATTTATTTTTTAAAAATTGAATGTGAACTGCTTTTAGCTTAATATGGTGGGCAGATATTCTTTCTGAAGTACATAATGGAGGCATTGGTAATCTTTGCTGCAAAAATGTCAAGTGTAACTGCATATATGATTCCACAGTTTTGTTTTTAATGTCTGATATTCTTCTTTGCTATCATAGAACTCGAGGCTTTTGCATGTGCTCTGTCACCAAGACACTAACCAGACCTGAAAAGTTATACTTTAACAGAAGTGCTTCATCTTGAGATTTCAGATCATGTTCTTCCTTTTACTTTAAAAGACTGGCACAGTCTTTTAACTTCTGCTTCTTACCTCAATTTTTTTTTATTACTGGTCTGTTTCTCCTTCCCTTTCTTTTCTCTAAGGCCTTGTAGCTCTTTTAATGGCCTCAGGCTTCTCTGTCCCTTATCGTTACTGTTCTTTTGGATGGCTGAATATAAAATGGGAGTTGGGGAGGATCACACATCCACTCTGGAATCCTTGGAGGAGGAGTTATAAAATAACAGAGAATCTTCAGATCTGAAAGAGGTGGGGGTAGAAAAATTAACTCTTTCCGATGTGCAAAAATTTCTCTGCTTGGACATAGTTTATTAGGAGCATATAGAGTTGCTATATCCTAAGTCAAACCAATGGTCTAAATCAGAGATTTGTTGATTAATATCAAAAAGACATACCCCTAATCAAATGGGGACAGTGTAACATTTGCTATAGAGAAATTTATATACAGGGAAGAATTAGGAGAAAGGGAAGCACAATTAAACCAAGGAAAAATATGTATTTAGTTCAGTTTCACACCCTTAATTTGAATGGGGATTGAGAGATATGATATTGGGCAATGGAGTTCATGGATAAGGTTATCTCGGGCAGGAGTGGGCAGAAAGATTTGTGGCATTATGAAAGTTGTTTTTGGAGTTCCTGGCATAAGTGACATTGGCAAAGAGCAAAGTTGCACCTACTTTGCATTTAGGCTCATCTTACCTTTAGATCTGGATTGCATGACATGCTGAGCCCTGGCTTGGCCAAACCTTGCATGACACCAGAATTTGGACTAGAATCATATAATGGTTAAGGCAGAGTGGCTTGTGGAAAGTTGGGTTGTTGGGTTACTTTAATCATAGCTCTGTGACCAGATTTCTGACCAGATTTGGGGATGGGTAATATTAACCTAAGATTATCTTAACCTTTTCAGTCTCTGGACACAAGGATAGGAGTCAGGAGTGGCTGCAGAATGAAGCTGTTCCAGCCATAGCATCTTTCTTGCTCCATTTATTATTATTATTGTTGGTCACACAGTCAGCCAGATGTTTAGACTGGATTTGGCATTTCTATCCACCTATGGAGTTCTTCCCAAGGACCTGGGATAGGCAAACGTTGTTTGATGGTGTTAAAGGTACCGTCACAGGATGTAAGCTGTTCCAAGTAAAGCTGCCTTTCGCAGTTGACTGATGGTGATGGTGATGATGATGATTATATTGCAGACAAGGGTGTAGAGTCTTAGCCTGCTCTGCATGGTGACTATGACCTCAGTTGGATTGCTGGAGATCAACCAACAAACTGGCTGATCAGATTTAGCTTCAGCATATCATAAACATACACTCTTGGAGTTCTGGGTATGCTCTGATATTTCTTACACATATAGCTCACTGCTGCAAATTTTGCTGGAGGAGAAAGCTTTCATGGCTGTGCTGTATTAATAAATTTAGATTTAATCAGCAATAGTTGGTGCTGAAGGCAGGTTCTGCAGCAATTTTAATCGCCTGTTATGAGTTCTGGTGTATGTGTGTGTGTGAGAGAGATAATTAGGCAAAGCCTTAGCCAACTGGCACTTGATTTCTTATCCTGCTCAAATGAAGGTCTTCTGTGTGATAAAAATCATATGGGGACTTGAACATTAGTCATAACATATTTTATCTACTTTCACTTGTGTGTTTCT